AGTTTCACCAAGTGACAACAATCGCAAGTATGACTTACACAACTATTCTGTTGACACCAGACGTAAATTACTAAAACGACGGGCAACATAGACGAAGGTGCGACAGGTCTGGGCTTTGATTGTCAATCCATTAACCAAGCGTGCTGATTAAGGGAAGGCCCTCCCAAAATCTAAAGCGGGAGAGAAATATCTCCAGCAGTGGACATTCACGGACTGATGAAGATTAAAAAAAAAGAATAGAAGTGAGCTTAGCGCCCCCTACGGAAATTTTACTTTATGTTTAATAAAATTTAAACGGTTCAGTAAGCTGACGAGGCATTGTAGCTCGAGGAACCGTCAATCGTTGGGAAAGACAGATACTCGAGCGGTAAACGTAGTATAAAAATTGATGGCAGGAAGTCAATGGGTATAGGTGGTTCAGAATCGTGTCTTTGTACCATTCCGTGAGGAAAATCCAAACAAGCTTTTTATACGTGGTAAAACCACGCTGCAACTTTATTATAGTTATAGCACGAATGGGTCGACTCGACCGCGGAAGGACCACGCTCTCACAAAATACCAGCGTAAAATAGTAGCTTAATGCCCTTTTTTACTGGAAATGAGGCATTCTATCTTAGTGATCAGAGATGACAACGCATCTGCGTTATTGTCTATTGTCCACAGCATCCACTTACCATCAGGTAGACTATGTGCTCGTTTGTCATTCTTATTCTATAAAAAAGTACGAATTTGGTCTTTGTTGTTCCTAGAGGGATAAACGATTTAAAATAGGATCACTTATTCGTAACAATATGAAATAGAGTAGACCGGGGCCGGAGATTCTTTTTACTGTTAACTAGCTGTCTAGGCATTCCATCATAGCCCTTAAGAGTGACAACGCCTTTGTATTTTGATATCTAATTGAGTATACGTGTAGGTGGCTATTGGGTACAGCACTCATTTATTACCATCAGGTAGAATGTGTGCTCGTTTTGTCACATTTTTGCCATAAAAAATCTCTGACACGTAACGTAGAGCAGAGCTCTTACTTGGTGGAGGTGGCCCCTTTACTCCCTATAATCGAAGTGAGTTAATTAACGCGAACTTTACTTAGCTGACCGATAAGTCGTGGTAGCTCAGGAGCGATGAGTTCACTGTTAATTACACGGAACGCTAGCAACCCGGGTTCCATACCTGCCGGCACCATTGAAATTGTTAATTGTAATTTGCTGATTTACCTTGTGCTCGGCGGTGAAGGAAAACAACGCGAGGAAACCTGCATGTCTGGGAAGTAAAAAAAATATTTCGAATACATGGGAAATCCGTCACAAGACATAGGGGAGCAGCGCAGCACATTTTATTATCCTTAAAGACCTCTCAGAAATGAGAGAATTGTCTAGCAATTGAACGCGTGTAGGCTGTATTTTTTTTAACTTTGTGGATAATACCACAGATTAATAAATAGTTTACCAAATAATACTCCAAAAAGCAAAAACGTGGGTAAATAATTAAAACTCAATAAGCAACCTCCATTTAACTTTTCACTTTTGTATCAATCACATTATAAATGGTAGGTTACTAACATTGTTTAGGAAATTAAATGCGCATTAAAAACGCATTAAAGAACTATGAGAGTGTAAAGAAAAATACTCGTTGAATTGGTTATTAGGATTTTCTCCTATATCGTGGTTTTACGTATACAAATTGCACAAGAACAAACAAACATCCAGACCTTAATTGTAAAACATCCTAATCCAGTTTAGATTTTATGAGATAAAACCTATAGCGAAACGGTCTAAAAGTATAGACGATCGCCATTTGCTTATTTTGATACTTTACATGATAAAAAAGAATTAATTTCTAGGGTAATTAACACATGCTAGCCTAAAAAAAGAGTAATAAACGTAATGTTAAAGTTAAAAAATCCTATAATATATTCAATATGCGGTCTTGGGTCGACATTCTACATCAAATATCCAAATTTCAGGTCTGTAACTCATTCTGTTTACGAGCTCCGTGAAATACGGACGTACAAACTAACAAAACAGACAGCGCATTGAAATTATTAAGGCTCCGTTTTACCCCCAGATAACGGAACCCTAAAAAAAAGAAATAAATGTGTACTTGTTTGTCTGGTGATCCAATTATTATCGTAAACAATGAGAAACTCATACCACTTACTTTTTCGAAGGTACGGTTATGACACAAAGACGCTCGGACACGCTTAACCCAAGTGCTTTTGTTTTTGGACACAAGCTCTCGCTAAGCCCCTTGTTACTTTAATCTCATTCTGATTTATCAAGATCTGGTTTGGAGGATATAAGGGACTAGAAATCCCTGCGAATTTTGAGCTGCAACTATTATAGTAAACCCGAGATGACTGTCAATTCTCATTGAATTTAATCATTAATGTCGCCATGGCGAAAGTGAACGTTTCGATGCGGCCTGATTGTGATCTCATGCGATTGCGATTGCGATCAGATCATGCAGGATTACTGTAATTGTATACCTTTCCAATTACAAGCTGCCCCAGACTGTAGATAGGTTATCGATGGCGTAATATTTTGTAAGAAATACAAATATATTTTATTAATAGATTTTTTAAGGATTAAGGGTGAAAAACAGCACTCAGTCCACCTGATGGTAAGTTAATGCTATGGCCCGTAGACGTCTACATTTATCAAGTTTATCAAGTATCAAAATGCAGATGTATTGGCACTCCTTGAGGAATAAGTTTTAATGAGTCAGTAAAAAGAGCCTCCGGTTCTCTACACTAACCATACGAAACCCAGCAGCGTTAAGCTTCTATTTAACGGTGATATTCTATAAGAGCGTGGTCCTTCCCCGGTCGAGCCGACCCATTTGCGCTACAACTATATTACAGCTGCCGTATGACTACGAATACTATACTAAACTAATATATACAAGAGATTTTACTTGTAATTCTAATTAGTACCTACTTTAGAAATTTCGTATATTAATTTAAATCAAAATGTTCACCATTTGTTAAGTATTTATTTTATTTATTTATTTAAAACAGTCCATTTAACAGAATTTAAGAAATTTTAGAATTTTAGAAATTTAAGGCTTTACAAAACGCCAACACAATCATAAAATAAATTTACATTCCTTATATGTCATACAAATAAAAATAATAAATTGTCATACAAAATTAGAAATCAGATAGTATGTCATATTGAAAAGAGAAACTTTTAAATGAATAATTAACAATTAAATAAAAAAATCAACATCATTTTTTTATGTATGGTTAGGCAAATTGAAAAAAGAATCTAAAACTGTAGGTAATGTCTAAATTGTATGTTAATGATTGTTAGTTGATTAAAATCCATGAGTCGAATAGCGCTTATTGTTACCCAACTGCCTGAAAAAGAGGTTAATGTTTTTCGAGTGGGTATGATATTTGTATATCTACTTCTTTGGCACGCACTGGAGCCTGGATCCCATATGCTAAAATACATAGAGCTGTCGTTAAATTCGTCTTGGTTGTGGGGGTGACATTGTGTAACTATAAGACCGGTCAACGTACTACTATCTTTTAACATTTTTTTATAATTTTTTCTCAATCTTATTTTTTGTTTTGAAGCGTGCAATAAAGAATTATCTGTCTATCTATCTATAAACTAATTCTGTTTTCAATGAACTTTATTACGTTGTCATGTTTTTTTAATTAGTTTTTTTTAACCTTTGGGCTTGTTTCTATTATATAAGAATATTTTTCACCAGGCCATAAGTAATCGCCAATCCCGATGATTAACGCGAACAGTAAAATAGCAGCTCAACGCTGCTGTGTTTCGTATGGTATTAAAAAATTCCACATAACGGGAGTCATGTCTACAGTACATGTCCATGGACATTTATGGGTCGAAGAAGATCATTTATTCAACCATCCATTACAGCCTATAAAAGTCCACTGTTATACTTAGATCCTCTTCCACAGACTTCCTTATGGGCAGGATTTCGCCATAGTTGCCACGCTTGGCGGGCGGGTTGGCAACCGCACTTTTTAATGTTTATTGAGTTGTTATCATCAGATCAAGATACTGCAGCCGCCCATTTTTTGTATTAATTTCCTTCTGTCACCTCGTACGACACCCACGGGACGATATGGCGTAGTGGATATGCTTACACCGTCACTACACGTTACTACACGATAGTAAAGATAATAACAAGAAACAAATGACGTCATCTACTTTTATTCTACTCTAGAAAGTTTTGTTTTAAACGCTTAACAAACCCTACCTAAAGTCTACTAGCGGGAAGACTAAATACCATAGGCCTCCTTTCATGTGCCGCGTCACCTTATGATATGGAATCGATCTATTCTTTAATCGGATAAGGCAGGCGTATTCATTCGTACGTTTATGGTTAAACCGGAAGATGTGTGTGAAGATTACGCTGCATTACGTTCATTAATATCAGCGAAGCCAACCACAACGCATAACACGTCAGCCGCATTAACATACAATGCCGAGTGAAAACGCACGGAGTGCTTAATGATAACTGCAGTTTGCACTTTGCACCATCAGGTAGACTGTATGGTCGTTTACAACCCTTATTCTACAAAAAAGTTAATAGTAATATCATCAAAAACATAACTTAGCGGAAAAATAATTAATAGCGGAAAACGTGTATTTTTCAAATAAATGGATCGAAAATGTAACGGCTGTGATGCCGTAATATACGACATTTCGTACATGGAATGTGAAAGAGATGGATGCAATAAATTGTACCATCTTAAGTCCATGGCTCTGACGAAGGATAAATACGAAGCGTTTACTGAAGAATACAAGTGCAATTGGAGATGCCCGGAGTGTGTTTGCAGTGCACCGAAACGGGATAATTCGGACACACCAGTTCGAGGTAACCAGAATATAATGAATCAAACTTCTACCCCTTGCTATGTAAACTCAGACCGAGGCAATAGGATGTTTCCAAAAGAAGTTATAGAATTGGATATCAGTAGTAAAATACTGCAAGAATTGCAAGAATTTAGATTTGAAATGAACTTTAAAATAGATGAACAAATAAGGGAGTACAATTTGCTCAAGGACAGGTTTGTTGATACCGAAACAGAATTGCGTAAATTACGAGATACTTTGAAAGTAGTGCAGAAGAAGGCAAGCAAAGTCGATGAATTAGAAGCGCAGATAAAGACATTGGAGCAAAAAAATGAGCAATTAAAGAATTGTCTGAACAAAAATCGGCCTACAAAAGAAAGAAATGAGACAGTTAAGGAAATCAGAAAGGAGACTTTATCCTTTGCAAAGGTACTCACACAAAACGAAAAGCAGGTACTAAGCAAAAAATCAGCCAGTAAACAAAGATAATAACAAAGATAAGCGTGTAGTGGCATGCGTGGCCATGAAACCGACATGTAATATAGAAACCGCTGCGGAGAGTTTTGATAAAGAACAACTATCGACAGATAATACAGAAAATAAGATGGAAACTAGCAAAAAGAAAGGATCATGGATAACTGTACAGAAAAAGAAATATCCTGAGAGGCAAGTCTTAAGAGGAGGAAATACTGGTACAGGAAATATTCAAGGTACTGAAAGGAAAAAATTTTTACATGTTTGGCGATTAAAAAAAGGATATTACAGTAGAAAGTTTGGAAGTACATGTAAAGAATATATGTGGAAAAGAGACGGAAATAACAGTGGAAAAAATTAAACATAAGACGGAACGAGACTATGCGTCATTTATAATAGGAGTTCCAGAAAGTTCATACGAAATACTATGTAAACCAGAATGTTGGGCAGTTAACATTGAATTTTGTGAATGGGTGTGGTTTCGTAAACCACCCAATAAGTAATAAGAAACCACTCAATTTTGTGGAGATATACTATCAGAACGTGAGAGGATTGAGAACAAAATTACACGATTTTTATGTGGGAATTTCTTCCCATAGTTATGATTTTTTTGCAATAACAGAAACAGGATGCAACAATTCTATCTATGATTCAGAACTTATCCCTCCTGGATACATGATACTTCGGTGTGATCGGGCAGACGGACGCAAGCAGGGTGGTGCGTGTTTAGTGGCCACACCACGATACGAGCTGCGGGAACTAAATACCCCGAACGATGTACGTATTCAAGATCACGCATTTGAACTGGTTAGCGCTGCAGTTTATCAACAAAATAAGTTCATGTTTGTGTTGTGTGTAGTATACATTCCACCGAGTTGTGGTGATAATGAATACATGTTGTTGTTAAGTATAATAGAAAATTATCGTGATGGCTACAATGATTTAATAGTGATAGGCGATTTTAATTTATATTCTAGCTCAACAAATGTACGCAATCATTTTGAGTGCTTTTGCACATATTGTGAATTCACCCAGTACAACAAAATAGGAAATTGCAATGAACGACAATTAGATCTTGTTTTGAGCACGCGTTCAGTGGAAAAAGAATTGGAGGTGCGCGCGGCTGAGCCAATCGTGCCGCCCGACCCACATCATCCTCCGCTCGCCATTGTGGTGCAGCGGGGGCGTGCGCGGTACGGCGGGCAGCCCGCGCCGGCGCCACTGCTAGCTGAGTCTGAGGGGAGCAATCAGACGCATACTGGATGGAACTTCTGTAAAGCAAACTTTCCGTTAATGTATTCGTTATTTATTTATTTCCGTTAATGTATTCGTTAATAGCGGCCATAGATTGGATGCCAATGTATAGGTTAGATGTAAATAATAGTTTAGATTATTTTTATGAGGTTTTAAACAAAGTTATGGATGACTGCGTGCCAAGAAAAAAGCGAAGACGTGTAAACTCGGAGTACAGTTACCCCAAGTGGTACACGATAGACATTATTCGCAACATACAATTAAAAGCTAGGCTTCATAGGCAGTTCAAGGTTAGCAAATCAGGGGCCGATTATGAGGCGTTTGCTAAGTGTAGAACGTATGTAAAATATTTAATAAACTCCACGTACAAAAATTATAAAGACCGGATGCAGAGTGAGTTTCAGGAAAATCCAAAGGCGTTCTGGGCTTACATTAACTCAAAAAAGACAGCAGAAGTCCACGCAAGATTTTAAAAGATAATAAGGTACTTACTAGTGAGCAGTGTGCTTCTGAGTTTGCTCAGTATTTTTATTCGGTATTTAGCCCTAAGATGTCTAAGCTGGACGTGGAGGCGGCAGTGAATCAGGCTGGTGGTAAGAATGGTGCGGCTAGGGTACACTTAGAACAACTAAAGCTTGATGAAGTACTTTACGCTCTGCAAAAACTCAAGCCAAAAAAGTCAACGGGACCAGATGGCATACCGCCCTACATTTTCAAAGACTGTAGACTTGGTAAGCCACTTCTCTACATATTTAATAAGTGCCTGGCAGAGGCAGTGTTTCCAGATAGATGGAAAACAACCAAGGTAGTCCCAGTACCAAAAGGAAAGTCAGCATCAAACGTGGACCAATATAGGCCGGTTGCTGTGCTTTCGACACCAGCTAAAGTACTGGAGGCTGCAGTACACAAGAGCATCCTCTCGCAAGTTAATGTACAGCTTTCGGATGAGCAACACGGTTTTAGACCCGACAGGAGCACCACCAGCAACCTAATTAATTATATGAATTATATTGTACCTGAAGTGGATGCTGGAGGACAGGTAGATGTAGCTTTCTTGGATTACAAAAAAGCTTTTGACCTAGTGGATAATGACATACTGCTCACAAAACTGGCAGGTGTAGGATTTACTCCCCATTTACTAACATTTTTTGCTAGTTATATGCGGAACAGAAAGCAGTATGTAGAATATGCGGGGTGTAGGTCAGAAAACTATTTAACTAGGTCCGGAGTAAGTCAGGGCAGCAATCTCGGTCCATTGCAATTCATATTGATGATAAATGACCTTCCAACGGTTGTCAAAGATGCTCATTGTACTCTATTTGCAGATGACCTGAAACTGTATCTTGCTGTGAGGAACAGAGAGGATTGCCAAAAGTTACAACAAGATATAGATAGGGTGGTAGCCTGGAGCCAACATAATAACTTACAATTTAACATCACGAAGTGCATAACTATGACCTTCAGCCGTGTACTATCTCCAGTTACGTACCAATACCAGGTTAACGGGGCACCAATAGCGAAAGTGTCAAAAATCAAAGATCTAGGGGTTAATTTCTCCTCTAAACTAGAATTTGGAGAGCATATAACCAAAATCTGTAAGAAAGCCTACAGAAATTTGGGATTCGTACTACGGATAGCTAGGGACTTCACTAATATAAAGACAGTTATTGCATTATATAATTCTTTAGTGAGGAGCCAATTAGAATTCAACGCGGTCATCTGGTCTCCACATGAGACTAAGTATAGTATCATGTTGGAGAGAGTGCAGAATATATTTATTAGATATTTATATCAAAAAATGTATGGAGTATACCCATTTTACCCAAATAAGTATCCTACCTTATTCACCTTAGGTATGGTAGGATACAATGAGCTAAAGGTTAGGAGGAATTTAGCGCTTGTTTCATATATCTTTAAGGTGATGAGGGGAAAGATTCACAATCCAGACGTATTGCAACAAGTGCGCATATGTGTTCCGGACAGATACGTGTGGCGGCGGCGGCGGCCGCAGCTGATAGCTGTGCCGCGCGGCCACACTAAGCTGGTGACTGAAGCGCCCTTTACGCGCGCCCTCCGTATCCTCAACCGTATAGCAGAAGACATAGATATATTTTGTTGTACTCTGGGTGGGTTCATAGTAAGAGCTCTGTTTGAAATTAGTTATGGTCCTTATGTGATATAGATACGTGTTTGAAATAGCAATAAGTACATATCTGTAATCGAAAATTATTAGCTTGTAACTGTGTAGTTGTAGTTGGTAAAATAGTTGTCTACATTATCGCAATAGGTGATAAACCTGTAAAGATAATTGTATAGTGGAAAATAAATAAATAAATAAATAAAAATAAATAAATAAACTTGTAAAAAAACACAAGTCTCGCAACTCAGTTCTTCTAGCTTAAAAAGTTGTGAGATCTATGTAATACTAAGTCGGTTCATTTATTCAGTTCCTACTTAAGGATCTTTCTGTTTTAAGTTATGATGTAATTAGCTAACATATCAACGTCTTATGGTGACCACATCAATATCAAAATCTTTTGTGTTTTAAATAAATAGATTGACTTGGCCATCGCATGAAAACACAATGTATCTCACAAGTATATATTGTATTGTTTCGTGTGATTGCCAAGTCAATCTATTTATTTAAAACATAAAATATTTTTAATATTGATACGATGCTTAATAAATAGATTATGTTGATTATTTAATAATAGCTGATTGCCTCGTTATTCTAGTGGTAGTAAACGCGATTACAGATCATGAGGTCAGACCAAAAAAAATAAGTTACCTATTGAGTTTTCCTGTCAAGGAATGTTCAGTTACCGTCCCATCGGGCTATGAGAGTGAGGCAATAGAGAGTGCACCTGTGCTTGTGCATATACTCAGCTACTATAGTCATGTCCTGCGTAGATGGCTAGCCACCGTTGAGGTTGGCCGCCGTGATGAAATTCGGTTTGGAGGACATTATTGTTATGCTGTGCGAACGTGATCGTTTCCCGGTCGAGCCCTAATAGTGCTTTTTCATGGAAGAGGAGTCAAACCAGCATACGATATACTGACATAAACCCCTATCATGTAGCTTCAATTTTAAATAAAATGAAATATCCATACCATAAGTGATATCGGCCACAGATCAAATATTGCTTAACCTTTTTTTTTAGATAAGTGTATACAAGCACACAGTCCACCTGATGGTAAGTGGAACGAGAAGCACACCCCACCCCCCCACCCCCACCCCCCCCAACCACCCCCCAAAAGTTGCTGTGGCCCATAAACAATTTACATTTATCCTCGATTACGAATCAAAATGCAGATGCGTTGTCAACCGTTTAATCTCTAAAATTTTACACTCACCATACGAAACACAGCAGTATTTTACGCTGGTATTCTGTTAGAGCGTGCTTCCATCCCCGGTCGAGCCGACCCATTCGTACTACAAATTGCAGCATGGCTCTACACTATCCTAAGTCAACAAAGCTTCCTGCCTTTTATTATGAGGAAGTGAACGCTGCCAATGTTTGGATACTAACGACGTGGACGATTGACGGGAATCATTTGTCCATGTAATTATTTTGTGGAAAATAAAAAAAAACTTAGTTTGATGATTTCTTATTTTACGCGAACACTACACATTGAAGAATTATATGTAAGTCTTACATTTGTTCATTTAAACGTTTTGTATCCTATTATTCTTATAATATAATGTCCTCCCAAACTATCCATCTGCGCTGGCGCATTCGATGGGATGACAATCCGACATGACCGATGGAAGACAAGGCTTAGGACCAACTAGGCTTTGCATGATACGGGGATGCAAAACCGCCAACTTCCTCACTCCATTGAGAATTTTGTGACAGAAATACCCAATAACTGAATTAATATGTTTATTTTAAATTTTTAATTCCAGACGTTATTTACCCAATAACTGTTTAATTGGCGATATTACAGTGCCCTTAGCACAACACCAGAGAGTGCAGGATGGCTTGACGAACTGGTAAGCCATGCGAGAAGCCGATGGATGCGGGTGGCTCAGGACCGTGCCTTGTAATTTGCTCCGTACACTCCTCATGACCTCATGATATTTTAGTCATCGATAATCTCTCGAAGCAATTAAATTGAAATACTAATGCCGTCATTAAACCTCTACAGATTACTTAATGGGATATATCAAAGAGTTCTAATAGCTTTTGAGACGGTATAACCATCTTGTTTGCGCCAGTCGTAAAATTAACACACCGGCGACGGAAGCATCATCAATATTGCGTTACTGTGATCGTCACAAACCCTCTTTGCAACGAAGGAGGCTTTTGTCCAGTGGTGCACTTTGGACATGAAGAAGATTACTAATCTATGAAGTACAGCCAACAACTGTGAATGACGTCACACACCAATCAACTATACCTATATGTCTGTCCGTGCTCTCCCGCTGGCAATGAGATCGAGGCGTCTATTATTAGGTCCGGTTTATTTCTTCTTTACCTACAGGGCTGCGTATGTTGTGGCACATTGTTGATAGAAGTTTAAATAATGAATTATAAACAATGGCCACTTCACAACTTGGGGGAGGTTTTTATCTTATAAATGACGACGCTCCGGGAAGTCTGCAGTCAGTAAATATGTTCAAGATTCTGTTCCTTAACGGAAGAAACGCCTCTGTACATCCTAACTGATTGTGGAGCCTTAATGTTTGCACACTCATCTAGTAAACTATGTACTTCGCCCAGAAGAGAAGTGTGTTCACAGCTAAGAAACTCCTTCAATTCATTGAAGACAGACTTAGCAGTAAACTATAGCCATAGCATGCGATCACAATGCATCTTATAGGTCGCAGTGATACGGGTCTTTCTAGAACTGCATAACTGTTCGCAAAAAAGAAAGTTCAAGATCGTTCCTACCATTGGATAGATTTGGTAGACTACAAATCCTCGTAAGATGAGGTGCTACTATTTGCTTGGGATCCTATAATTAATGAAATTAAATCCAAACCCAAGCATACCACCGCAAGACTTCGAGATAAAGCGAGAGATACGTTCTGCGTAGTTCGGGCCTAAATTAATATTCAAATGTTT